CAATGATGATCCATCAAAACAAGTTGCCACCTGGATGACAACCCTGATGACGATAGTCAACTTATTATGTAAGATTATCGTTGCGTCATTACGCTTCTGCACAGGGAAAGCTGGAGTCGAGTCCGCTCTGGACTTGAGCAGGAGTAGCTCACTTCATCCTAGAGTTCGCCACCAGTTGCTGGGTACCCAAACCCACACACTCCCCTTCAGCCGACCTCCCCCCCCATGCACCAACGGGCACCGCCTGTGTGGGGCGATGCGTCGTCTCCATGAAGCGCGCGCAGCCCACGGGGTCCTCGGCCACCACGTCGGCCACGGCCTGTTGGATCTGCAGACCATCCCAGCCTGGCGCCGGAGAGCTCGGAGAGCGGCCCAGGTGGAAGACCAAGGGCAGCCGAGTCACCAGGTGTCACCCCACCTTTTGGGCCGTTCCAACCAAGTGGATGAAAAGAATGCTTTTTGACCCGGGGAAACCACCCGAAATGGAGACAGTGTTTGGCTCGCAAAGATGTCTGGGATGGAGCACGAAGGTGACTAGTGACATGGTATTTAAAAAATGACCAAGTAAACCCGAAAAGGACTTCAGAAGCAACTCACCTGCTTATCACTGCGGGGCCATCGACTTTGCGGCCAATCAAGCTCAGTGTCCGGGCCTTCTTTGACTGCTTTGGCCACTGCATCCAGCCATCTCTCAGTCTCCTGGAAGTGGGGGGGAAGGTGTCCCAAAAGAGCGGCCAGTTCCCAAAGGCGGACTGCAGCCGTGTTGATTTCTGCACGGACAACTGCCGTGTTGATGTTAGTCAAAGCGAGCTCAAAAGCACTTTCGGTGAGTGGTCCACACGAAAATCCGCCGGTGGGTCCTTTGCCATGAGGGCTGACCTTGGCGCAAGGGATTCGAGGTTGCCAAGTGACTCATCTCAATCCCGGATGGGTGAACCTATGCTGGGCCAACGCACAGGGTCTCACAAGCTACCCTCTCTCCAACAATCATGGCAGTGCGCAGTGCCTGGAAAAGCAATTCCCCTCTGCAAACAGGGGGTTGTCTACTCCCAATGTTTGTTGCAGGGAGGGTATCTATGCTCCCGGATGCCAAGCTCAGCTCGTGGAGGCGAACGTCAGATCCACAGGGCTCTGACGCTCCGGTCCCCTCCGCGCGTGTTTGGTGTCCCCAAAAACCCCGGGCCATCCCCACTTCAAGTCCTTCTCCGCCTGAGAAGGCGCCATAACGCTCGGCCTCCAACGTCACGCGGGATGCGAGTTGTTATGCGAAAAACATCGCCAGGAAACACACCAGGTCTCGCTGAAAGCGTCGGTAGACACTGCTATGCCAATGAACATCCAGTTCAAAGGAACAAAATCGCCGTTCTTGTGGTGTGGACCATGCTGAATTTCATAAGATCACAGGCCTCAGCTATCCTCAAGCAACCCTGTAACCCATGCACTCCCGCCCCAGCCTCGGCACGGGGTCCCAGGAGATTCCGAGCCTCCCCCCTCTGGTGCCGAAACCGCTTGCGGTGATCGAAAAGGCCGGCTTGCGAGTTGGATCCCTTCAATCTCGGATGTGGATTGAGCCATGTCATGTTTGACCTCTGGGACAGCTCATCAATTCTCCTGGCAGTTCAATAGGTCCCGCAGACACCAAAAGGTACCCGCTTTTTTATGCTCGTACTATCACCCTCTGTATGCTCGTCTATCGTGGTGCCTTGCTTATACATTGACTCCCTCCACTCTCCAAGCCTCCTCTAGCCGCATACGTGCATCGTGTAGTGACAGTGCTCCACCATCACCGCGCACCTGGGCAAACTGTGGCACCAAACAAGCAGAGCAAAGCACTGAAACGCACTTGACGGAAGGTGGTTTCAATGTCCCCTACGGAATGCTGGAGCTTTTGGGGCTGCCAAACTCCATGTTCTTAGAAGAGGTTTTGCCTCTATAGCGTCATGTGTTTCCATGTTCTTTCAAAGGGACATGTTCGGCTTCTACGACCGGACAATGAAACGGACGCCGCTTGGAGCCTCGCGCTTTGCGCGGTCGGGGGAACGAGAAGCCTTGTCTTGAGTCCAAAACACCTCGCCGGATGCCAAACCAAGACACCTCCAACACAAAGGTGTGTTCTTTTCGGGCTGTTCATTTGGACCGCTGTGTTTCTGACAAATGGAGCCAGGAAGCCTTAGTAAGGAAGCCTTAGTAGCCCTCCTTTTTGATCGCCCCCAGGCAAATTCGCAACCAAACACTGGCAGCAAAGGCAACCATGCATCAGGTCGAGCATAAAACATGTCATGTCCTACAAGACGTCGTTTCAGCTAATCTGCAGGTACATGTCAACATCCCTCAAGAATCTTCACCAACTTGGCCCACACCACAGGGCACATCTTCAAGTACTAGTTCACTAGTTGCCCTTCGCAGCACTTTTCTCCCCCACACGCAGGTGAATTCGCAGCACTAATGGCAGCGGCCTTCTGTTGGCCAAGGAAGATGCAGCCTCACCCCCCCCTGAGCGAAATCACATGATAGCATCTGCTAGTTCTCAGTTGTTCTCAACAAGGCTTGCTTATATAATGGTGCCACGGTGCTACATGTCAAAGTAGAGCCCTCAAACAATCAGAGCACATCCGTTGCAACGCCTCTTTGTTTGATGGGCACTGGGTCTCCAAGATTCAATATCTTCCACAAGTGAGCCGCTGGGAGAGGCTAGATGCTGGCAAACCTGCTGAAAAGGTGGGTCGATCAAAAGCCACCAAATCATTACAGGTAGTCATAACAGGAATCATGGTAGTTATGATCTGTGGTCCTGCAGGTAGTTATAACTACTGAAATCATCATTGCAGGATTCAGCCACGGCTTTGAGGATCGTCACATACTCGTCCATCGAGTGAAATTCGCTAAGCCTCCTTGGTCCAGCTGTATCAGGAATCATGCTCACATCCATGAAAACCTGCAGTTTGAAGGGGCAACTCGACAACTCATACCCCAGAAAATAGTTACCGTCCAGAAAAATCACATGGGCAATGGGCACCGAAATAATTAGCTCAGTGGTGTTGAGGCTTGATATGAGTCTTTGCGCGGGATGCAGCATAACACTACCCTGGGCCAACCGCATCGAAGCATCCGTGCGCAGGTCGCATGTTCCTCTGGAGGGGGGCTGGACAAAAGCCCCTCTACTTCCCCCAAGCACGGCCCACATCGAATGGACGAAGAATGCCGTGCAACGAAGGCCAAACGTCCAACCAGACCATAGCCGTCCCTGAGGAGCCGTGGCGCTGCGTGTGGCGCGGAACCCAGTTCCTTTTGGCCAAAACACCTACTGTACCCAAGACAGCCACATGCCAAGTTCTAAGGCCCAGCACGCAATACCAAATTTCAGAATGACTATGCCGGACCATGCCCTGTCATTTGCTGACATTTCTGTCATCAAATACGTAATATCTTGTAATAACTCATGCTCTGCTGGCCTGAGACGCTTGAACTTGTTGATGGTGTCTTGGAGAAAGTTGGGGCGCACGTGAACGAATCCAGCGAGGGAGACCCCAATCCTCACGCTGAACTATTCAAAAACACGAGCAGCTGTCCCCCCTGTCCTGTTGGACCAGTGTTGGCCGCCCTCGACACCAAAACGATGTGAGGTGGTATGTCAAAGCACGCACGGCTGAAAGAAAACCCTTGCAGACTTGCAGACATCGCATGCAACTACCAAGCTGCCGTGTAGAGTTTATCTCCTCACAGCCTTTTGGACCTTTTGGGAGAGTGGACACCCGAAGCCCAAATGAGGTGTTCAATCAAGCAGCCTCTTGGGCGGGGGGACAGGTTCAGCTATGTAGTCTGCAATGGGACTCAGACTTAAGAAGCTCGGTCCTCGCCAGCAGATCCAACCACTCGAGGCAAGCTGGCAACCGTGGAACAGGATCCCAGGCATTCCTGATCAGAGATCAGATATTTAGCCCCATCGACCACTGAGGTTTCACCCAAACATGGAGACATGCATATGTGTGAGATCGTTCATACTGATGAGTTCAGACATCTAAACATCGAAGAAAACTATGCCCAAAAATATGGTCACATGCTCACCCCAAGGGAATTCCCAAACCAAGCTTCACATAAAGCGTGGTGATCTTGTCCAACCACCGGCAGCCAGGGGTGCCCATGTCAGGCACCAAGACTTGCGGGGCACCGAAGGTCACCACCTGCGTGACGTGAAAACCACGGTAGAGCAAGTAGAGGGCGGCCAGGATCGCGTAGCCTCCCCCAAGCGAATGGCCACAC